CAAAGGAGTTTTAAGAGGGCATCAGAAGCATGTGAGAACAAGATTTCAATCTTTTTTAAAGGTCCTGCAAACATTACAGTTCATACTCAGCGAATTTTAAAACTGAAAAAAAAATTTGTGAGGCAGAAGTGGTGATCATATTTCCTATGCAAATAACGTCACAACGAAAGCATTACAGAACCACATGAACATGTCAAAGAGACATGCTCACTTCTCTCTAACTAATTTCTATGTTAAAAGTGAGAGTCAGAATGCTATCAAAAGTACCTATAAAAGCTTGTCCAAGATTTATAGCCCTGGAGCCTGGACTTAGTGGACTATCATTCAATTTTTACAGTACCAAAGTTGAAAGGATACCATATATACTCTCCTATAAGTTAGCCTGTAAGTCGGTTGTATTTTTTGACGTTATTTTGGTGGGATTATACTTCAACGGTAAAACATTAAAGCATGGGCAAATCCACTGCCATAAGGAACAATCAATGTGAGAACTCTTCCACACAAATATACAAGAAATTAATAATTCTTAATACATTTTACTTTTCTTATATATATGATGTTTTCTTGTCTATACTTCATCTTTTCATACAAATCCATTTTGATGCCACAATGTAAAAAATCTCAGTGAGGGGACATTTTTGTCAAATCTTTTAAACTCCTTACCCCTTTAAAGCTTTTGCAGATCTATATATCATATGTGTGTGATAACACCATAATGATGAATTTTTCAGGGGAAAAGAGTTCATGAGGTCAGTCAAAAGTTATTCAAACAAGATCAGAGTCACTTATATAAGACATGTGTGCGTTTTATGTTTGCACATCAAACCTCTAGTGTCAGTGTGAACACGGGTCGCTATACATAGATATTAACCTGATCCATATACATGTATACTCAAAGTATGCATTATGGTCAGCTTAGATATTTTTTTTCATTTCGTTAATGATGTTCATTTATTCAAAGGGAATAGTTTTGCATTTGTATTTTTGAGTGAACTGAGTATCAAATATACATGCATATGAGAGATTTAAAATACATGTATAACTTTATAGAATTCAAATTTAGTTACACAAAAAAGTTTTTCAATCACAGTTTAGAATTTAACTCTGACTTTCTACTAGTACTAGTCAGTCTCATGAAATAAAAAAAATATTTTGTTTATTTAAAGTATCTTTAAAATCCCCTGCATTAAATCATCTATGATGATTCGACCATAATAAAAATATTCCTAGATTCTCATCCCCGCCCGCCCCGATTTTATACCCCTGCCTCGATTTTTTTATTTCTGTTTTTCTTCGTCTTAATTCTGATCGGGATCGGTATTCATCTACCATTCTACTTTCGTTTTAAATCCCGGGAAAGTCGATTTTGACAGCTGAAAAGATGGTAATTGCTGTAAAACATGCGTATATATGTAAGACTCCAAGGTCCGATGGTGACGCCAAAGTCCGATGGTCTGCGCCAAAACCCGATGGTTTTTTGTTGGTGCAGACGCCAAAGTACGATGGTCACGCCAAAGTCCGATGGCTGGTTTCCTATGAGACACGCTGCGCTAAAGCACGATGTTCTGACATGCCAAAGTCCGAAGGTGTGGAGAAACAATCGACGATTATGATGTCACAATGATTCAACGTTAATCCTTGACGCTGTTTTCCTGCATCAAAATGCTGTAATTTCTGAATTTATCCTTGCATACGCTTTTATTTATTTATTTATTTTTTTGAGTATTGCTTACATATTTCAGAGATATTAGGAAAGTCCTCGCACACCACTCAACTGATTAGGGTTAGTTCTAATAATTGCTTTGATTTGGGTTGGTCCTTGCACACTAGTCGAGTTATTAGGGTTAGTATCGCAGCCACCCAAGATATCTAGATATCTATATAGTTGTTGGGCCTTCACACTTTTCTAGCAATTAGGGTTAGTTTCACACCTATCCGAGAGATGAGAGTTAGTTTTCGCATAATGATAATTATTAATACTTATTTAAAACCTTGGCATGGTGCGGCATTGTAGTTTGGCACACTAGTACTATGACGTCAAAAACGTTAATTGTTTTCCGCACCATCGGACTTTGGCGTGTTAAACTATCGTGGTTTGGTGCAGACCATCGGACTTTGGCGTGACCATCGGACTTCGGAGTCCCATCTCACCTTGGAGTCCTACATATATTTTAAACAAGGGTCATTGGTTGAAAAAGATTGGTGATGATGTGAAGTAAGAGGTAATTGAACCTTTACTATGACTTTTATTCGGGTATTGTAGATAAAATTACACCGATTGACCAGGTCAATAAAAAAAATCTGCAAAATTGAAAAAATAAAAACTATAAAATAAAAGCCGCCCGTTTGCCTCGATTTTTACAAAAATTCAGATGAGAATCTAGCAATTTATTTATTATGGCCTTATTGATATTTTTTTTTTTGAATCCTCTAATGGGTGGGTAGGTTTTCGAAAAATCGAATTGCTTTATTGTGACATGTAAAAAAAATTCTGGATAGAAAACTGAAAAATATTATAGTCATATGTTCCTGTATTGCACAAACATCTTTCAAGACTTCTAATATTAGCAAACTAGTTTTAATACCTGTTTGAGGTCCAGAGTAATTGTTACATAATTATACAGGGCTCCATTGGTTAGTGTCGGGCTCTGCCACCATGAGTTCCTGCCGTTGATAGCGTTAGTGATGGGATGACGGCGCCTCTCGTCTCGACTCCTCGCGTCACAGATGTCACAGTGAGAGTTCTGGTCTGGGAAAATTTTGACATGGTCCACAAGCTTACAGAAAACCTCACTCTTTTCTTCTCCACAGGTAGCATTTACAGTTATGGTAGACCTTGTTGCTAAGTTCAGGATGTTTGGAAATAACCCTACATCTGAAAATAATTTAATTTTGGTTGTAAGTTTGTAACACATCATTTGATGGGATATAAAAATAAATCTAAGTTGTATAACCTGGGTTGCCTACGTCACAATGACTTACGTCAAAAACGTATCAATCCGCTTGACATTACGTTTAAAATATGAACAATCCGAAGACGTTTTTAAGGTCGTTTTCTATAAATAATGATTGAAAATTGAATTATAAGGAATGAATTAAATGGCAACCCAAGTTATACTGCTATAACCTGGGTTGGAGCAGTTTACGCTTTATATTCATAGACCGCTTTGAGATTCATAAAGTGTAAACTGGCCCAATGGCAAGTTGGCAACCCAGATTAAATTGGGAGTTGGGTTGCATTTCATTCCTTAATATAGATAGATCTAATACGTTACATATTCATGTTAAAGAAAATTCTCTGAGAAAAATTAATTTAAAATTTCAAGACGTTCACCATGTTCACATTTTTGGAAAAAAAAAGAAAAGAAAAAAAAATTTGGCTCTGTCTCAGAACGGTAACCCGACCACGCACCCCCATTTCCAGAAATCTATAGATAGTCCTAAAAATGTAATGCATTCGTTCATTCAAATCTTTTTCCTTTATATTTCAATGGCATATTACAAGTATACCCACACTTTCCTTTTCATTTAGGCCTAGCATGTAGGCGTATTACCTGATCTCCTTATAAAATACATGATCATGATGGACAAATCATCGGTCCATCTTAAATTCTTCTGACCAGTGCACTACAAATCTCAGTCGAGATTATACCTACCACCACTCTTAAAAAAGATGACTGTATTAATAGTTATTCTGAACCATCGATTTAAGGCTAAAGGTAGTGATTCTTTGAATCTGAAAAATAGACGTCTGAATACGAAGTTTGATTTTCCCTCCGAAAAGTCAATGGTTAAATCGTTCTTCATTTATTTCGGGTTTCAAAGACAGTAGTGCGCTATTTTTAATTATTAGCTATTTAAGCCCAGGCAGCCGTTAGGACATTAAGAATTTACTAACTCTGTTTGACTTTTTTCTCATCAATATGTTTATATTTATTAATTTTAAAAATATCCCTGAAGCTTATTAAAGAAATACACAGAGTCTACGTTTTTCGAAAGGGGGGGGGGCTCGATTCTCCGAAATGAATGGGGAATTTAATTTTTAGCTTTAGATCTAAATAACAGTATTGACAAGTTCACAAATCAATTCAAATTAGTTTGTAAAAAGAAGATAAATGGAATCGATGTTTCACTCAAACTCTATAGATATTTTTCTGAAACGTTGGAGAGGATTTGACGGAGGAGGCGACTGTTTGGGTTCGACTGAAACAAGTATTTTTCCTGTTAAAATATGTACGGACCTTCTTTTTTTTTTTAAGACATCTTTGTAATTAATTAAATAATATTGTCTTTCTACAAATTTTATTAAGATTTAGAAGTCTTTATATAGATTTCAGTAATCATTTCCTGAACGCAAATTTAAAATAATATAGTTGCACATTGCTAAAAAAAATTCTACATGACTTAGCAAGATATGAAGTTATCCCAAAATCTAAGGCTAATGTGATAAAAACGATTCATATATTAAGAAAAACATATGCAACAAGATAGTTGTGAAACTAGATAAGATCTCATTAACGCTATTGGTGTTTAAGCCACTTTAATCCGAGGCCTGTATATGTTTCTCATCAACAATGAAGGGGGGAAACTCTGCGTCAAAATCTTCACCTTAATCGACATCCACTGGAGCTCATCTGGGCTCTCGTGAATGTCCTCACATTAAAAGGGAACAAATAGTTTAATTACAGAAATCAAACAAGAACTTCTACATGGAAGGGGGACTTCACGCAAACTTCTTTTATCTGCAGATTCTATCGTAACAGCGTTTATGCCTTAAACTAATAAAACGACAATTCCTCGACCTATAATGTCCACGGATCCAATTCAAGGTGTTGACTGGTGCTGTTATCTGAATAAGTAAAATACGCTGTCTTATCGTAACATATTCTGAATAGCTTTGACATCAAATAAAAAGTTCAAAGTACAAATAGCGTTATACCCAAAATCTTTCTGTACAAATGCGAACAATTTTTCTACCTTGTACGAACATCTCTTAAAATTGCCTTTTATGTCATAGATATTTACGTTGCGCCCACACTAAAACACCGAGACAGCTCAGTAAAATTTGGAAACGGGTTAACGAAAAAAAAAATTAGCATTTGGGGTAAAGTGCAAGCAAAAACTGTAATTAAAGATGGTACATTAAGTTCTGAACATGTACGGGAAGGAAACCGTTTAATGATTTTACCCCCTGACGAAGTTTTTGTTTGATTCCATCAAAATCTACGGCAACAGTTGGAGGCGACGATTAACTCATTAGCTCCCGATATTACAGACTCCTATAATCAGATAATCATCTTGTTAAGATACTTTGCTCTCAGATGAGGAAGCGATGTTAGGTTCCAGTAACCAAGCACTGCATATTAATTAATGATATGTTTAAATTTTTTTTCACTAAAATGTCAACTGTCGCAAGAACAAAATTTATGTGCACAGAAGGAATCTATTATTAACTTAGGTAAACTTTTCTGACACTGCAAAATTCTTAATATAAGTTACGCTCTGGGGAAATGATTCCCTTATAAAGTTAATCTGTTAATTCTTTGTAGATTATTGGAATTAAGCTTCGAAAGTGTCCCAGTCTGTTGATTGCAGGTGGAAGAAGTAGTAATTTAAGTAACTAAAATACTGCTGACATTTCAACATTTACGGTACCTATAAATATATGTTCCATTGATAAGATGAAATCTTGTTTTAATCAAGGTAAAAATAAAAATCGAATTTAGTTCAAACCGCAACCTTAGATAAGATTGTATCACACACACTTTCCGACAGGTAGACTTACCTTGGCATTTGATTACAGGTAAAATTAACATCCAAAAGACAAGCACAAACCAGGTCACCTCTTTCATTTTTCAATATTATTCATAAAAATGTACCCATTTGTAGAAAAATCATTTTATCCGATTTCTGACTTCTCTACACCTATGGAGAAAGCAGACGCTCTCTGAATTTCCCGGCCCGTCACGCATGGGAGCCCACACTCTGACCGTAAAAATACCACTATAGTCTGTTTCCGGCCTAACGGCGCACCACAGAACCGAAGCAGAATTTCCTGCACCGATGTAATTACTTCACATGACTAATGAAGATTGTTACTGATAACCTACATGTATACATTGTACTTTTGCCCAATAGTCTGATAGATTAATCAAAATCAAAATGTATAGAACATCCGCATTGGAGAGAAAAAAGCATATGTTGAGGCTCATATGTTGGATCATCAAACACCCCTCCCCCTTTTACAGTCTTGGTAGAAGGTATTGAGGAGTTTATCAGATCTCATTTAAATTAACTTCATCCTAATTGCCTGAATAAGGCCAAAAACAAACAAAGAAACAAAATAAATATATAAATTATTTTTAGATTTGACTTTTGATTTGCATTTCGAAGAAAAATGATCAGGATTCAATTTCTAAAAATTAAAAATCTCATATTTTATAACAACCGGTACATGTGCTAATTATATAAATATATGTTTATAAACAGTTCATATATCGACCTAAAATTAAAAAAAAGTAGAATTAAATTAAGTACTATTCAATGCAATTATTCGACATATTGTCGTGGAATGGAGGAGTTATTCCTCTTATCTCGAATCTTAAAATACTTTCGTGTAGAGAGAGAGAAAGAGAGAGAGACAGCTAGACAGACAGACAGACGAGAACTAAAGAACAAGTTATGTAACACACATTCAGAAAGAATCAAAGAGAAATTAAGGGAACAATACTCAGACAGTAACAAAGAAATAAAGAAGGCCACAAAGAGGGACCGCAGGAACTTCATTGAAAATATGGCTAAAAAAGGTGAAAAAAAACATCAGAACAGAGAATGGGTGATGTTTATCAGATCACCAAGAAGCTAACTGGACAAAAAATGCATGTATGCCAGTCAGAGACAAGCAGGACTTAATGATTGCATCTGAGAAAGAGCAAGAACAAAGATGGAAGGAACATTTTGAAGAGACACTGGACAGCCCAGATCCAAGAAACAGAGCAGAAATTCACGAAGCAAGCATCGACTTAGAAATCAACACAGACGAACAATCAAAGTTGGAAATAGTCACAGCAATCAAAAGTTTAAAGAATAATAAATTACCTGGGAATGACAACTATTATTCAAAGCAGAACCTATCCTTGCAGCAGATACCGTATCCTTCATCCTCTTTTCTGCAAGATATGGAAGTACGACATGATACCAGCAACATGACCTGAAGGTAGCATCATCAAACTACCAAAAAAAGGAGACCTCACAAACTGTAACAACTGGAGAGGTATTACTTTGCTCTCTATTCCAAGCAAGGCCTTTAGTAAAATAATTGTATGCATAATTAAGACAGCAGTGGACAGCAAGTTAAGGAAAGAACAGACAGGTTTCAGAAAAGGAAAGAGCTGCTGTCACCAAGTTTTTATATTGGGAAACACAATAGAACAATGCACAGAATGGGAAAGACAACTCATCATAAACTTCATAGAATTTGAAAAAGCATTTGATAGCATTCACAGAGACAGCTTGTGGACAATCCTGAGGCACTTCGGTATACCATCTAAACTAGTTGACCTAATAAAAGCATCTTTTGCAGAATTTAAATTCTTCAAACACAAGCTTTCTTGTAAAATCAGGAGTGAGACAGCTCTATTGTTCATCATAGCAGTGTACTGGGTAATGAGATCATTCCTTAGTGACGAAAACACTGGCATCAGGTGGACTTTTTTCAGCAAGCTAGGAGAATTAGATTATGCAGATGACCTGGCTATATTATCTCATCTGGAAACGCAAATGCAAAGAAAAGCTTCTATTTTACAGATAAATGCCAGCAAAATCGGTTTGAATACCAACAGAAAGAAAACAGAAGAAATGTCCCTAAATACAAAAAGCCCCCCCCCCCCCCCAAAATACAACTGAATGGAAAAGATACTAAAAATACACCATATTTTACATACCTAGGAAGTGTAGTAACATCAGGTGGCGGAGATGACAAGGACATAATATCAAGATTAGGTAAAGCCAGGGGATCCTTTATCAAGCTTAAGAATATATGGAAGTCAAGCAGCATCAGCAGACATCAAACTGTATAAAAGTTGGGTACTACCTGTCTAAATCTATGGTGCTGAATGCTGGAGAATGAGAGAAAGTGACACAAAAAGCTATCAAGTTTTCATAACAGATGCCTCAGAAAGATCTTGAGGATATTTTGCCAACAAAAATTACCAACAAAAATTTGTACGAAACAGCAAAAAATAAACAACAGACATGAGGACCTTAATAATAAAATACAGATAGGGGTGGATAGACCATGTCTTGAGAAAGCCAATAAATTACACCACAAGTGTGGCATTAAGATGGACCCCAGAAGGGAAAAAGGAGGAAAGGCCGACCAACTACAACATTGAGGCAAACGGTGGGAAAGGAGCTAAAGGACATAAGACATCACAAGAGTGGCACTAAGATGGACCCCAGAAGGGAAAAGGAGGAAAGGCCGACCAAAATCAACGGGGAGGCGAACAGTGGAAAAGGAACTAAAGGAAATAAATCTAAACCTGGGGAGAGGTGGAGAAGATAGCTAAGAACAGAGAGAATGGAAATCCTTAGTCCTTGCCCTATGGGCCTCCAGGTGCAACAAGGAAAAGGTAGGTAGGTAGCTTTCGGTGTCTTTGTAGATGAGATGTCATTTTTTATGACATATTGTGTCAAATATGAACGTTCTTTTGTATGTCAATCAGAAGTTATCACCGAAGTTGACTTTAAAAAAAATTAGGTCAATCGTAAAAGTCCAGGTTACCTTAACCTTAATTCTCACCATGCCAGGAGGCACACACTGCACAGCGTGCCGTGTTCCCGGAGTTCCAGCCTGCATTATCTACACCATCCGCCGTCATGTTGTCTTGGGACGGCCTCGCTTCCCTTCCCCCTCAGGCGTCCAACCGATGTCCACAACACAGTCATCCATGGAATACTTCCTGAGCACATGGCCGATCCAATTCCATCTTCTTCTCCTCACCTCACTGATGCTTTCTGCTTCTTCCATCTCCAAAACTGTCTTGTTTGGGATACTGCAGTATGCTGCTGCCATCTGACCTTACGAATTCTTCTGAGGCACTTGGTCTGGAAGATGTCAATCTTTTTTCCTCTATCTTGGTAAGCTTCAAATCTCACATCCGTATAACAATACAGAGAGGACCAGGCTCTTCGAGAGGGAGACTTTTATCTTTCTGCTGATGTCTGTAGTGTTCCAGATGTTGGCTAGCCTCTTGAAGGATACACCACACAGTGCTATCCTCTCCCTCGTGTCTGAAGTTCCTCCTCTATCCTTAAGCTTGGTGACATTGGCGCCGAGGTATGTAAAGCTGTCTACCTCGTCGGCTTCGCTGTTTCTGACTGCCAAGCTGATTTCACTCTTGCTATTTATCTTCATCACTTGGCACTTCTTGGCATTCAACTTTAATCAACTTTTTCTTCCAGTTTTGTTGTCTTTGACTGAAGATGGTTCATTGCTGATGACAGTAGGGCAATGTCGTCCGCAAGTCAAGGACTTCAATCATAGTTGTTAAGTCCCGTCTAAATCCTGATCTATTTTCTCTGACGGTCTGTTGCTCGTAGTAACAAGAAGCCTGACATCCAGCATCCTTGTTTGGCACCAGTCATCACAGGAAAAGGGTCTGTGGTCTCGTTGTCATCAATCACTGAACACTGAAAATTGTAATTCAAGGCTTTGGCCATCGTAATCAGTTTTATGGGTATTCCATTTTTCTTCATGATGACCCAAAGGCTGTCTATGTACACCGAGTCGAAAGCTTTCTCAAAGTCCACAAATTGGATGGACAGTGTAGCATTCCACTCGTTGACTTGCTCCAGGATGTTCCTGATGATGATCTGGTTGTCCGGAACCTTGCCTGCTCTTTCCTTAGGGTGCGGTCAACTCCAGCCTGTATTCTGTTGGTTCTGTTGATGATTATCCTGCTGAGTGCTTTGCTAGCTAAGGACAGCAATGTGACTCCCCTCCAGTTGCTGCAGTCCTGTTAGTTGCCTCTCTTGGGGATTTTACAGATCAGTCGTCTGGTCCATTCTTTGGGCACCTTTTCCTCCTTCCATATCTGGTCAAAGGTGTGCTTCAATTCCTGGCTGCTTTTATCAAGGTTTGCCTTTAACATCTCTGCAGTTATTTGATCTGCCCCAGGGGCTTTCCCATTCCGAAGCGTCTTCAGTGCAGTCCTTAATTCTTGTGTAGTGGGTGACTCAACCGAGATGTCTAGCCCTCCTCAGGTTCATCTTGTGATAGTGACTCTGGAGTATCCTTGTTGAGCACTTCCTCAAAATGTTCCCTCCATCTGGAAAGCCTCGCCTCTTTATTTTACAGCAGCTCTCCATCTTTGCTCTACATTGCTGCTGTTTGTTTATTACTCTTTCTTGTCAGCTCTTTACTTATGCTGTGCAGTTCTTTCTGCCTCCTGTTCTCGGCTGCTTTTAGTGCTCGCTCAGCTTTCTATGCCATCCATCTCCTCTTGTCCTCTCTCGCACTTTTCTTGACTGCTTTGTCTACTAATTTTCCTTCAACCTAGTCTTGACTCTTTCTGATCTTGTGCTCTCTATCTTTGTCTTGATGTCTTACCTTCCATCTATCAACTTCCAGGTGTTTTCTCTGATCCAAGGTTTACTTTTGCCTTTCCTGTTGCCAAGTCCTTCCTTTGCTGAATTCACATATGTCATCTTCTGCTGTTCCCACAATTTCCCGACATCTTCAGTCTTTTCCCTGTGCTCTTCTAATTTCTTTCTCACAGTCATTGAACTTTGCTTTTACTTCGTTGTTTTTAAGACATTATAATCTAATTTTGATTTCATCTTGATCTTATTCTTGTGTGTGCCGAGCCGTAGATTGAATCGGGTCTTCACCAGGTAGTGGTCGCTGTTGGCATCAGCTCAAGAACAGAAGATCTCCACTGTCCACTAATGAGAAGATAGTCATTCTGGGTTTTCACTGTTCCAGTAACAGACACCCATGTTGCTTTGTGTTTGTCTTTAAGGGGAACAATGTTTCTGTGATTACAAGTCCGTTGATCTGACTAAATTCACTCAGTCTTTCTCCTTTCTCGTTCTATGTTCCCAGGCCATGGATACCCATAGTTCTTCACAGCCATTATTGTCACTCCCTACCTTGGCGTTGAGGTCCCCAATGATAATAATAATAATGTCGTTCTTATTACATCCATCCAAAGACCTTGTAACTCCTGATAGAATTGGTCTTTCTCCCCTTCTATCTTTTGATTATATGGCGCATATGCTTGGATCAACGACACTATCCTGTTGCTTGAATAGAATCGTGCTGTCATGATTCTCTTGCTGATGGGTGTCCATTCTATGAGTGCTTTCATTGCGTGCTGGCTGATCATTATGGCAACTCCTCCCTCATATAATTCTTTATCCCCTCTGTATATGACGGTCTGGTCTGAGGCCAGTCTCGTCTTCCCAGCTTCCGTCCATCTGCACTCACTGATTCCCAGAATGTCCAGTTGGTATCCTTCCATTTCTTTCGCAATCTGTGCTGAAGCTCCTCCTCGATATATTGTTCGCACATTCCAGCGTCCGATGGTGAATGTCTGTTTGGGTGTCACAAGGGATCTAGTCGGACGCTGGGCTTCCCTAAGGCTTCCACCCCTTGTCGTCTTACTGCCACCATTGGGCGGTCCCCGTTTTACCCGGACTTCGTTAATTGCTCTTTGATGTCCCTTGTTTCTGTAATTCCCATTTTTCCCCGGGAGGAGGTAGTCCGCCTCCTGTCTAACCCAAGCTTGGAGGACCAGTGGTTTTCTGTCGGGGTTTCCTTTCGTTATGTCATTTTTATAACTTCTGAATGACATATGAAAAGGCATTCATATTTAACACAATATGCCATAAAAAATGACAACTCACCCACAAAGACATCAAAAGCGGGGGAGCACAATTCTTTGAATTTGCTTGTTTTTATCTCTTTGCTCATATAAGGACCTAGTCCCAGTCATGGAGAACTAATTAGAAAACGCGATAAAAATTTGTGTTTCTAAAAATCCCGATCTTTATCGTCTGATACAATTAGTTATATCGAAATACAACCCTCTTCCAGAAATTACCTTATTTACATAACTATATACAAAAGTCACATGTATTTGGATCAAGCTATTGACAAATAAGTTGATATTACAACATACATGTAATAACAGTCGTTTAAAGACAACCTTTTTTCAGAATTCTTTTTTCGATATAATGACTTTGTTTGAAAATCATTCAGTCGAATATGCTGACTGACGTTTATCATGCATATTGTCAGTTGATTATATTCACATGGAATTTCTACAGATTTCTCTATTTACCTATCCACAGGCCTTTAGATCGCTTAGAAAAAAAATTGACGTGTTAAAAAAACCACACAATTTTTTTTTAAGCGATCAAAAGGCCTGTGAACCGATCGTGACATGGACGATAACTCCTTAAAGTAAAACAAAATTAGCGTTTTTGAGACATGTAAGGAAAAATGCATCTATTGAATAAAACGTGTAGATTTTGGATAATTTACTGACTAAAGATGATAAAGTCCAATTTATAAGTAAACTGCATGACAACAGAATGGTTTTAAGTTTATGATTCCTTGCTTTATTTATGAAGTATGTTCCCCAATAACCTGCATATGATGTGATCACATACAATAACTTAAGATGGTATGACATTTCCTAACTTATTCGATTAGGGCATATTCCGACTACAATCACTTTTTAAAGAAAGGCAGGCTTCTGACCATTAGTTGGTAATAGAGATTTCAATCACTAGTACCTCGTTTATGCTAAGGGCGGTATAATGGCTTCGTTTGCGAATATAAGCTATTTTTGAGTCGATTTTTGACTGACGTATTTCATTCCAATCGTAAGATGTACATGTAGTTTAGGATTAAATTGAATATACTTTGTATTTGATGGGACCAGTCGACAGGAGATGCTTAGTCCCACTAGGCACTGGCCTCTTGGACCATGAAACTTAGAAGTACTCACTTTAAATTTCAGTCTCACTTTTTCGACTTTATATTTTATTTGTAAAAGTGAGACTGAGATCAATAGTGAACTCATCTTACTCTTTTGGCCCGGGCCCCGGTGCTTGATCCATTCTCTACAATTTTTCGAATATATTCGACCGTATTAGAATCTACAAATACCCTGGGATAGGAAATTTTTGTAGACCTCAGCATTCCAGCGTTAAGGATATACTTTATACCTCCAATTAGGCATACTTTTGATTTACCGTTCATCCTTCCCACACTTCAACGATAGTAATTCCATCTTAAAACTTTGGTTGTTAGTGGCTTATGAGTCGTAAATTTTACTTCCATTTAGCTCTTACAAATTTATTGTCTGTTCTAACAGAGTTTCAGTTTAAAAATGAGTTGAGATATTACATTTTTTTTAGTTTGCAAGGAAATGTACAAATGGACCCACAGCTTATCTATCCTTCAGTACTAGTGTTCTTGGAATGACTAAAGGTTTCATATTGATTTGATGTGAAGTTTTAAATGTCACTTTAAAACAGACTAATCAGACATGCATCATAAAATTAAAATACACCTCGTTAGATTTACAATTATCGAAGTGTTACTGGTCGACAGGGGATGGTTAGACCTCCATGGCATCTAATTCCACCTCCATTGCACGGCATCTTATTCCATATCCATGGCACCTGATGATTTAAGAGGTCCGTGTTTGCTTTAAACCTTTTGGATATTGTAAAATAGGCTAGAAATTATGATTTGACAATTTCTTGATTTGTTTCCTATAAGAAATTTCAAATAACTCGTACATATTTCCAATATAATTTCCTTATAATGCAATAAGCATTGCAAAATTAATTGATATTTATATTGATGTCACATTGAAACCTCAAATATCGTCTTATACATATTAAAATCTTTGGACAGAAATGGCGCGAGAGCACAATATCAACATATCTTAGACACAATCGCCATTTTAATCAAAACGCGACACATAAACAATGCCCAGTTAAAAAAGAAAAAAAAATCGCTGACGTCATTTTCAATTCAAATTCTCCGACAGTTGACAAATTTGAGATAAACCTTACTGATTTTTCTGTAGAACTTGGCACCATGACTTGTTTTCATTCTTGCTGATAAAAATGATGAAAAAGAAATAAAAGAGAATTTCAAAGGAAACTAGAGCACACTCAAATAATAGAAAGCTTACTGGTTTGCAAAGAAGGTTTACAAGTTCTAAATTTAAAGAATTTCCTTGATTAACTCAATATACTTCTATTGCAATTTTTAGACACGTTATAATGTTTTATATTGCAATTTTTTCTCTGTAATAATTAAATTTTAAGGAAACTTTCCAAATCTTATATGTACTTCATCAAATTTTGCGACATAATTGTTTTAAATACATGTAATTTGGAATATAGAAATCAAAGCACTTATTTCACAATTTTTTTTATATAATTTGAAAATCTTAATTTGGAATATTGAAATTAAAGCTTATAATTTCTTTCTTTTTTATAATTAAAACAAAATAAAACTAATAATAATCCCATGGATTTTGAATTGCAAACAACAGATGGTTATATTTCTGAAACTTCAAACACACCTTAAATTAATTTTCTCAGATCTACTGAAAATACCTAAACCAATTCAATATGTTTATCTAGCACATAAAGTAATGGAATTTAACAAAAATTCATGCGTCTATTCAATAAATACAGAATTGAAATTGTCAATAAAGCTGGTGAACATCTGGCAGGATGACCTCAAAGCCATTCAAATGGACACTAAAAAGTACCTTAAAAATCTTACATCCATGTTGAAAACTAACAAAACTACAGTAGAATCTATCGCCCGTCCTTGTGAAAAATGTCTTTCCCTTCCACATCCTCTGCGTCTATGGCGGAGTCACTATCCTAATGCTTTCTCCGCCGTTTTGGGTTGTAAATTTTGGGTCTGGTAGAAAACTAACAACTTTGATGGGTATTTTATTCACAAGTCCTTTTTTCTTCAGATTTTTATAGACCCAGAGAGTTTTATTATTCAGGGAGTACCACTTTTCTCCTATAAGGCATACATCGATAGATCCCAAGCTCGAAATTTCACTTGGACTCTCCTGATATTTGTCCAGAATTTCGTAGATAGTTTTTCCATGTCTAAAGTGAGTTTTGATGGTTTCCTGTGAATAGTAAATTTCATCTAGATCAAGTTCCTCGGATTTCATTTTACCGGAAGTGTAATGAAGAGGTATTCGCAGCAAAAAAAGTTTTTTGAACCCTATTTCGATTCAATGTTTTTGCATAAACGAAAAATCCATATTACTTATTCAACAATAATGTATATGTCGCATTCTTAAAAGGTTGTCATGTATGCGCTTTTAAAATATCTTTCAAAAAAAGGTCAACGCTAGAAATAATTGACATTTTGATAAGGTTTAAATGCCTATTTAATTTTGAGATAGGATACAAGCATGTACCTTGTAAGATATTCAAATAGGTAAAACAACTCAAAAAGAATATATTTTAAATTCAACACGTTCAAATCTACCATGAAAATCTATATGCAGATAAAAAGACATGCATAATGTCACAATCAACTAAAACAATCCACCCTCTACCACACAAATTCTTACAGTTAAAACAGGAAAAAAACAAACGTTTATCTTTTAGAAGCAATAATTAAAACTTGACTAGACTTTGTAAAAATTAACAATTAAGACATTTTCTCTTCAGTCAGTAATTGTAACATAGGGGGGAGCTATTTCTGGGAAAACACAAAATACTGAAGTCGAAGCCTTGCTAATTTCCTGCTAAGTGAGATTTATTTTGCAAGAAAAAGAAATGTAAAATAACAATATTCAAGCTCAAAACTTTACTAAGCAATACAAAATTGGTGGCAGAGCAAACACAGACCTCCAAAACATTCCGGTGCCGTGGAATAGAATACCATGTAACGTTCTATTCCTTGAGACGAAGATGAAATACTTTTAAAAATTCAGATTCTGTGTTTTAAATTGCATATTTTTACAACTAGACCAATACTTTATTGCACTTCAATTCATTTCTACTTTTTTGTTCACCTCTGACATTGTAAATTCTTTGCCTTCTTTCACTTCTTTGCGCATTTCTTTCATTTATGCCAGTAACTGACTCAATTCGTTTTGAGACAAACATTTCTATGGCATTTTTCTCTTGTATAGATCTATAGTCATTTAATTCATTTTGGTCGTTCAATGGGCATATGCATGACACCCACTTCCTGGTGCATTTGTTCAAGACTTCGTTAAACATTGCTTAGCTCTTTTTAACTTCCAATTTCCTCTGTTAATCTTTTCCAACAGACTATTCCACTTTATTGCTTAAAAATTCTTTGTTAATAATATCATTTTTGACTTTTTAAATATTTTTTCGTGTTCATCAACAAAATGGCCAAGCTTGGAGATTTGATCAAACTTCGTCCGAACGTTCAGGAAGAGTCATCCAATGCATAATGAACAATTCATAATGTTTTTTATGTAAAGAACATCGTGCATGTTTTATGAAAAGGAAATCAAAACAGTATCATAAATATATAGACAGTCTATTTACAATATATTCGAATAATTATAACAAGAAAATTGACACTATCAGAAAGGAAGCAGTAATTTTAGAACACAATTAAGCTCATAAGGAAGGTGACATATATCATCACTCAAATGTGTGTTAAAGTGAGAATTATAAGTATGTAAAGGCACAAATAGACGTTAATACAACATAGAGATGATACTATATGATGACAATATTTATATGGGTCTTTTTCAAATAACCAACTAATTCGGTGAAGAAAAAAAAATCGTATGCTTAAACTTTTTAACATAACGAACATAAATGTATATACAACAATTACTAAAACAGTCAGATAGGCTGTGGTATACCCCCTCAGAAATATTGGTGTCATCTTTACTCATAAAGTACTGATGAGCACATAATATAAGTTGAAGACCATCTCTGTTAATAACCACATTAAAAGTCTTGACAGACCTTCAAATTAAAAGGGTATCTCCCTCCTGTAGGTATGTAGGTACCTTGCTCTCAAAGAAATTTATAAATTTGAAAGCTCTTAAAATGTTGACTGATAGGCAGCTAGACAATATGATTTTATAATAGTTTTGGATTTCTTGCTAGACTGTTATTACATAATCGTCCCTTAAACGGTTTATTAATTCATGCAATTGTGCGTTTTTGTATGTCCATAAATTGATTCAAATTGCGATGAATGGGTTAAATTGATATCTTTCGAATGCTATATTTTAATCTTTTTCTTCGTATGACGATAATTTTGAAATCTCTTTAGAATTCTTTTTCTGTTAAATGAGAAATTAGAACTGCATAAGTTTACATGTAGACCAATGTTATGTTCATTGTCATTTTCTACTTCCCTGTGGCAGTTTGAATTCTTTGACTTCTTTCACTTCTTTGCGCATTTCTTTCATTTCTGCCAGTAACTGTCCCATGTCGCTTTTGAGACCGTCATTTTGGGACTTTATTTTCTTATACTGTTCACGAACTTTTTGTATTTCTTTAGCATGCATTTGATTCAGTCTGTTAATTTCAGAATTTGCTTTCAATAAATCCGCTTCCAACTTTTCCATTCTGCTATCACTTGTGCTTTCCTTTGTTAAGGATTCCTTCAGGTCGCTCTTTGCTTTTTCAGAGGAGCTCTCCATATCAGTCATATTTTTCTTCATTTGTTCAAGGTTTTGGTAGACATCATGCAATTCCTTCTTAAGCTTCACCACCTCCGCCATTCCTCTTTTTCTCTCCTCTGATTGTTCAGTTTTATTCTTCAGAAGTTCTTTGTTGGTTTCTTGAAGAACAGTTATACCTTCTTCGGCTTTTTGAATATTTTTTTCAAGCTCGTCAATGTGCTTGATTTTTTCGCGAATATCTCTTTTATGATTTTTCTGAATTTCTGCTATTTCATCCTCCTTATTTTGAAATGATTCTTTCAATTCTTTTATTTTTTGGTTTGCGTCATGACGAATTTGTTCATTTTCTTCCAGAAATTTTTGAGCATCTAATCGTATTTTAGTACGTAGAGCAAATACGATGTCCTCCATTTTTTGGTTATCAGTGGTTTCCCCCACGTCATCTTCTGAATCACTAGAAAAAGGCGTAGCCGACCCCGAAGATAAAGAGTAACCCTTAGGATAACCCTTTCCTTTGAGCTCCATATCTAAACCCTGCAAATTTCACAAAAACATACAATTCTTTTTTGTGTAAACTATAGACATTTGCACATAACTCAGATAAAAAACGTGCAATACTTCAAAAGACCTTATTTCTTATAAGGGGGTCCAATTTGATCCCATACTGTTGAAGGCATATGCATTTTCTACCAATGATTGTTTTATTAATGTATATTTTGACAAATCGAACAAAAACTGTTGACAGTGAATACTGCATTGTAGCAAAATAAAAATGTTGTGTTTTTATTATACCAACATGAATATTTAAAAAAAAAAAATCACACAAATTCATTCACACACCCCCTTTCAATAACTGCATATCTATGAAAGTCATTCTCAGTCAATCAACGTTAATAGCAATTAGAAATATGTGCAAAACTCCCAAAACTATGAAGCATGTTTTATTTTTCAAAAAAGCTGATTATATGAGTTTTTTTTCAAATAATTTTGTTATTCAAGTTTGTTAATATGAATTAAAATTGACGTATGTAAAATTATTATTAAACAAAAGAATTTAAAAGCATAACATACTTCTTTTTTCCCTCTAGTTGCTGTCTGAGACCGTGACGTTGACATCTTGTTGGTAGCGCTAACATCAGACTACTGCGAGGAAAATAACCTTGTTAATTTTTTTTAAAATCAAAATGAAATTTGAAGAATCACGTGTTTCTAGCATAGCAACAACGAAACAAAGTTTATTGAAACAGGAAGTAAATTGAAGCTCAACTCGGTGTGTTTCTGGGAATAATGAATGTTAAAAAAATTCTATCTTATAAAGAAGAGTAGGAAAATAAGTTACAGAAAATTATAGGTCTAATCGTCACCACAAGAAAACGAACAAAGTGCAAATAAAAAGTACCTATGATAAAAAGGACAAAGACATGTCTCATGCAGAATTGAGACAAATGTAATTTGTATAAGAATATTGGAAGGAAGGAAGAAATATTTACAATCAATTTTAAAGGACTTCAAAAATGATGGTTGCTTCTTTCATAAAACAGTATTAACCATAAATGGTTACAATTTTCCTTTTCAGTCTTACTTTAAGTTTAACGTAAATTGATTTGGTTTTTCTTTTGGTCCGGGATTGCTAATCAGTTGCTTTGTCCCTCATCTTGTTGTAACTTTTTGATTTCCCAGTCTTTTCATTATTTGTTGAGGTGAGGGGGTTTCTTGATGGCTTATCATTGTCGTCTGTCGTCTATGTGTCGCCCGTATAAACCGAGGTTCCGTGTCGCAGTAAGTTCTTGCCTCACTGCTCAATGGCTCCGAGTGCCAAGTATAGGACAACATTTGTGGCTTTCCACCGGCAAGTGGTGGCATCTACTAATGAGTGACAAATTTTCAAAGGGACGTTAATCTATCATTATCGTCTTTCCATCCAAATCAACATTTTCACATATGAAGAGGCATTAATTTACTGACGTACTCATTCTCATTATAAATTGTTAAATCGAACTTATTGAATCCAGTTTGTCGCACGTTTACATGAAACATGTAGATAATGATCAATTATAACGCTCAAAGAACCGTTGAGGCCTGCTCATTTCCATGGATATTTCTGCATTTGATCTGGTCTGGTGATAGGACCGTTTAATTCGCAAAATTATGACTGGATGAGATTGTTGATATTCCTGTTTTATCAACTTTTTTCTGTAGAGAAATTGTTCGTATATACAGCAAGCTCCTGCGTATCGAATAAACTGGGAGACATAAACCCCATATGCAGATGAAAAAGATATTTTGCTTTAGAAATTGGGGATGTTGACAATAAAAGGTCAATTCACCATCTTTACAAAAAAAATGATTGATTGTATATTGTTTAACGTCCCTTTCGAGAATATTTCACTCATATGGAGACGTCACCGTATGCCGGTGAACGGCTTCAAATTTTGACCTTTACTCGGCACTCAGGCCCATTCCATTGATCAGTGAGGGATCTTTATGGTGCCAACACCTGCCGCTGACACGGGTCTCGGTTTTTAAGGTCTCATCCGGAGGACCCGCAACTTTCACTTCAAAGTGTCTAGCGCATGGCGAAGGAACAGTTGCTACGCATTTTATCGACTGGGTCAGTCGCCGCCGAGATACGAACTCACGACCTCCCGATCACGAAGCGAGCGCTCTACCGACTGAGCTACCGTGAACAAAAAAAAAAAAAAAAAAAAAAAAAAAAAAAAAGAAAAACGTTTGTATTCGATAACCAATATATCTTTCTCTATGAATATATCTAAAAATGGAACTATGTTTCAGGCTCTTTGCGATCTTTTATTTAAAGGAATATATGGAGTTGACATATAGATAGAAGTAAATATCTGTATTTTATAACACTTCGTCGATATACCTAAATATCTGAATGAACGCCATAGCAAGTGTTTTCAACTTCTCATGTATAAGTTTTTTCAATAATATCTGTTTACTATGGATACAGAAATAGCTCTGCTTATAATAATGGGGCTCAATTTGTACCTGTGGTTATTCCGGCAGACTGTTAGAGAATCTGAATTCCAACAACAACAAAAATTGTCAATCAGAACATCTTTTATATCAACTGCAGTGTTATTGTGTGTACAAACAAAAAATTTTAACCACATTATTTTGATTATGACAATGTAAGATGTTTTACGTGTACCATTTGTATTAAAAAAGAAAACAGCCGTATGTTATGTCAATAAGCCTAGACTTGAATTTACCTTGGGGATAAGTGGTATAAATAGTTTAAAAGTTGTACGTTTTGATCTTAATATGTTACGATTTCAAATTTCCTGAATGTTCCTTCTCTATTTAATTATAAAAAATCAACAACTGCTATATAGTAAGACACTATGTCAAGTGAAGAATGCGAGAAAATTTGATCGAACAATGCAGGAAGTCATTCGGTTTCAATGCAGTATACAGGGGAATAAAATAAAGAAGCTGGATGACCATGCAAAAGACAAGGAGGAGCATCGGACATATAGGAGCATACATGATATCTTGTGATACTTGGTCAAACAGCCTTGTTTTAATGCATTGCTATTCCATCTAGAACATCAAAAGGTTTTGCAAAAACTTATCAGATTCATGATCAGGCCTCCAAAAAGAATTCACAAAATGAACCAATTGGCCCAGGACTGTCCGGCTTGATAAGCAATTTCCAAATTAAGGTGAACCGAAGCACGTAAAATATCAGGATTTCTTCTGAAACCATGGAATGCTTTCAGTGTCGATAATTCTGAACTATTTCAATTGGCCTATTACCTGTTTGTCATTATTGATGATGGAGATAATCAAATCTGTGTAAGCCCTTAGTGTAACATATGCTTTGAAAAAGAGTTATCATAGATGTATGTTGGTCTTAAAAATGTAGATTCAAGTTTGTTCAAATCATAACCCAATGTATAGAGGAGCCACAACGAAAATTCAAAATTGAAGGGAAAAAGCCGCAGATAAATATAAAACTATGTTAGCATCCTTAGGTGGTGTAGATTCAATTTTGTTCAGATCATACTCCCTCTCCCTTTAGGGGTAGGTTGGGACCACTTTAAGCTTTTTCATAATAAACTTGTTGCTTTTAAACTTTTTGCTTTTTACCTAGTCACAGTGCTAGGGTGAGCAAATCTGGCACCTTGTCTGGGTGCCATAAAACTTAGACGAGCTCACTTTTAATCTCAGTCTCACTTTTTCCATAGGAATTTTCCGAATTATTAGTGAAAGTGAGACTGAGATCAAAAGTAAACTCGTGCATGTTTTTGTCTCCCAGGTATGGACTTCTTGCTGTTCTTGTTTGTCTGTGTCCGAGTTCATGTATTTTAAGTGTTATATAATTAACCGCTGGAAAGGAGAACTTCTAGAAAACAGACCAAAGAACTTGCATCGCCATTTTTAACATCAAAATGCATGATTTACACTTTAGAGAACAATTCCTCTCAAAATTAAAAACTTAATTTTTTTATTCAAAATTTCACAAAAATGTGATTTGAAGTGAAAAATGTTTGTATAGATTAATAAGGATGGTTTCAGACGGGCAGACTTTTGAACTTCACAGAAGGTTTACAATTTTTTATATTGTAGAAATTTACCATTTCCATCATTTGTAATGTAAGTAGGTCAAAAAATATATATCGATCCAGGCATCCATTTTTTGTTTGTATCATCTGTACTTAACAACATTTATATCGTCTTCCGACAAACTATGAATTCTGATGGGCACTTCCATTTATATGTCGAATTGATATATCCCAGTGTACTTGAAATAGAAGACATCGCAGTGTATGCCACCTCATCGTCGCAAACCACGGCCAAAATGTACGCTCCTCTCCCATTCTGGAGAGAGCTATATAAGCGGACTCCGGACAGTGGCTTGAGACGATGATGCCACATTTGCTTCGTATTTGAAATATTACAAACGAAAAAATGAGAACCAACACAAGTATACATGTAAATTGTATAACAAACAAGATGTTGTCAGTTTTCCATCGTCGACTTTTCTTATTTTTGAGTAATATCCTGCGATCGCCTACGTATGGTGTTTACATCTTACAACTTATTCGATAATCAAGAGCGTGCTTTGAATACGGCCAATTTTAAAATCAAAACAGGCTACTGATAAAAAAGTTGATGTTACAGGGACTTTAAACTCGTTTGAAGCCAACATTTCTTAAATTCTTTGGTTGTTATAACGACCTTGTAAGAAATATGACCAAAATCCAATTGCTAAAGTCTGTTTTTATTGAGAATGTGACTACAGAATGTTCAGTTTACCTGTTCAATACCTAGGTCTTCACGGCGGATGTGAACGGTCAACATGGGATGACTAGGCAATTGATCCCACCTCTGGAACTTCCGAGGATCCGCGTTTTATGGCCTTTTAACAAATTTGTGTTTATTTTAGTTATTTGAAATCGATGACTGTTCGTCTTCTTCACGTTTTACATTATGTACCCGAGACATATTTTATGTATATTAATGAAGACACATAAGATATGATTATTTCTTTATTCAAATATTAATCAAAATACAAAAATAAACAATAGTCAGACCTGTTACATCATATCTAATCATGAAAATTTTGTTTGATATTGTTTAATGTAAAGTTTCCCGGTCATGATAAGGAGCACACCGTTATTGTGACCGGTCTGCAGGGGAATGCTCACTCCTCCAAGTTACCTGATCCCATCAGAGATCCATGTTTGCTCTACTCTTGATTTGTATTTTAATGGACTTTTGAGTTCGAAAACTGTTCGTTATATCCATATATTAGAATATACATTTAGGTGTTCCAGCAATCTATTGGAATTCCCATAGGTACCAATTTCGCCCCGTTATTAGCAGACTTTTATTTGTATTCATGTGAACCAGAATTGAAAAGAAGAAAACACTTGTTGTTGCCTTCAACTCGACATTTATATATATCAACGACGCAATGTTTATTTCCATTCAATGTCAATATAAAATCTCCGTGAGCTTGCAAAATAAGATACCACAGAGTATGACATATCTGTTTCATATTTGGATATATTACTTGAAAGGACCTAAATAGAAATCTAGCAACCAAGCGTTATAAGTGTGATGACTTTAACTTTTCAATCATCAACTTTCCTTACTTATGCAACCAAAAAAAAAAAAACATTCATCACCTACATACGGGGTTTATATGTATCAGTTGATTTAATACAGGTTGCTGAAACAAGAATATTTTAGTCAAATGCTGACTGAGGCTTTTCAAAATGATCGTTAGGCCATTATATACACACTGGATCGTCGACGGATTTGTCCGTTAAAACCCGATCATGACAAGGAGTACACTTTTGGTGTGACTGATAAGCAGGGGATTCTCACACCTCCATGGCACCTGATCCCAACTCTTTTTTTGGAGGTCCGTGTTTGCCCAGCTCCAATTTTGTATTTTTTGTGGACTTTTCAGCTTGAATACTGTTCGTTATCTCCATATATTCCATTCGGTATTTACAGAGAAAACTATATGACCCAGGAATGCACAGGTGTCTTCCTCTCATCTAGTATATTATTTCTTATAAAATTTCAAAGTACTAAGTCGAAAACCTGCAGGAACTGTATTTGAGGTAACATGATATATAAAAGTACATTCTTTTTTTTTCGTATTACATACGTCAAACAATAACAGTGATATTACATCAACTTTAATAAATGTATTTTTTTTTTTATTTTAAAAATTTTGAATACATGTGTTGATAACAGATTGAGTCACTGAATATTACGTCACAAATATTGTCTCGGGTATATATACATGCAAACACATATTTACAGGCAGACAAAGAGAATTAAGAGATATGATCCATACATCTGTAGTTGTCTTGCTTTTACAGAAAAAAAAATTGAAACGTTTCGTGGAGAGCTGTTTCAGTTATGCTAGAACAACGATGGTGCTGACAAGAAAACAGCTACACGGACAAACCATGCGATTTCTATCGAGATTCTGCATTCCATATGGGGTCCTAGCAATAATTCCGATATTACATAATCTTCTCTGGAACAACTTATACATTTGACTGTACCTTATACATCCGTTCTTCATATGTTAGTAAGATATTCAAAATGGAATGAATGGTTTTCAATGACACATTTGAAATGATATATTAAATTCTTTTCTTGGAGAAGATGATTTTAAAGCTCTTTTGAATTTACATTGTAGGTCCTGTATATATTCAGTGAATGGTTTTACATACATTTGTGTCTATTGTTTCATTTGTCATTTTTTATTTCCCCTGGCATTTGGTATTCCTTGACTTCTTTCACTTCTTTGCGCATTTCTTTCATTTCTGTCAGAAGCTGGCTTATATCGCTTTTAAGACCATCATTTTGTGACATAATTTTCTTATTTTGTCTATTAACTTTTTGTACTTCTTTAGAATGTACACTCTGTACCTGAATCAGTCTGTTAATTTCAGAATTTGCTTTCAATAAATCAGCTCCCAACATTTCGATTTTACTATCACTAATGCTTTTCTTTCGTTTAGATTCCTTTAGGTCATTTTTATATTGTTCAGTGGAGCTCTCCATATCTTTCATTTCTTTCTTCATTTGTTCCAGACTTTGGTAGACATCATTCAATTCCCTCTTTAACTCCGCCACCTCTGACATTATCTTTTCTCTCTCTCCAGAGTGTTCAGTTTTTTGCTTTAAAAGTTCTTTGTTGGTTTCTTGAAGAACAGATATACCCTTTTCGGCTTTTAGAATATTTCTTTCGAGCTCGTCAATTTGCTTTATTTTTTCGCGAATTTCTCTTTTATGTTGTATCTGCATTTCTGCTATTTCATCCTCTCGATCATCTAAAGATTCTTTCAACTCTTTAATTTTTCGACTTGCCTCATCACGAATTTTGTCATTTTCCTCTTGAAAATGTTGAGCATCTAATCGAATTTTACTACGTAGCGCAAATATGATGTCTTCCATTTTTTGGATATCATTGGCTTTCTTCGCATCTTCCTCTGAATCACTAGAATGAGGACTGGGTGATCCCGATGATGAGGAATGACCACCAGAATAACCTATTCCTTGTATCTCCATTTCCAAAATCTACAAATCAATGAGATTATTGTTAAAAGTTATTTACCTGCATCAACATTTTAACCTTGACTTTTCCTCTGACATTGACTTCGTGTTTAGCTTAACTGTAAAGAAAGTTTTTAGTCAAATTTTATGTGATGAAAGTTATTTCGTCAACACTTTTGACCTTAATTTTTTATTTGATCGTGACTTAATTTTTATGCCCCCGTAAACGAAGTTTCGGGGGTATATAGTTTTTGTCATGTCCGTCCGTCTGTTTGTCCGCAAAAACTTCAACCTTGCCCATAACTTTTGATTTCATGGAGCCATGACTTTCATATTTCACATGTGTATTCCTTGTGACAAGACCTTTCCTTGGGTACCACCAAATTTGACCTTTTGACCTTGACCTTGGAGTTTGACCCATTTTTACACATAAATTCCAAACATTTACTTTGGCCATATGTTTTGAACAGTAGAAACCAGGACATTTATACTTCACAAATGGGTTCTTTGTTGAAAGATCTTTTATTGGATACCAACAACCTTGACCTTTTGACCTTGGAGATTTCTAAATATGTAAAAAAAAAAAAAAACTTTAACCTTGACCATAACTTTTGGAAGGTAAACACTTGACCGAGCCAGTTAATTTGTAATCAATGGAATTTGAACAAAAACATTCAATCTACGATTTCAATATTTCGCATTAAACTCTCCGTGTGAATGCTTTATATAGCGAAGCTAATTCGCAGTAACTTTACGTTTAATTCGAATAAAAATCTCAGTGTGAACGGGGCATAAATGCATAAATTGGGGGAAACCACTTATTATATTTTCAAAATAAGACTTAGACTGATAAAAAAAAACATACTTCCCTTTTCCCTATGATAGCTGCCTGTGCCTGTGATGTTGCCATCTGGAGGATTACATCAGACCCCCGCGGTGAAAATTAACATTGTTACATGTAATTTAACTCAAAATTTGATTTGAAGAATCACGTGTTTTTAGCATAGCAACGACAAAACAAAGATAGTTAACTGAAGCTCGACGCTGTATGTTTGTTACAAAGATTTTAAAATATCAAAGGTGCTTTTATTCAAGGATAATAATTCTAAAATACCAATTGTTAGTTAGAATACCAATATACAATAACGATTTCAGGTTTAATGCTTATGAAAAACTATTTTATTAATTCTTGTGTTATACCTGTTTTGGTTTATGCATGTAGTGTTTGGGGTACAAAAATTTTAGTCTATAGATAATATTCAGAACATAGCTATTCGGAATTATATCGGTGTTCGCCTTTTTGCTCCTACATTGGGGGTTTATGGAGACACTGGATGGATTCCAAGTCAATATAGACGTTGGATAAATATAATCAGATATTGGAATAGAATTTTATCCTTTGGCAATGATCGAATTACAAGAATTGTTTTTGAGTTGATTACAATAAGTGTAAGAATAACTGGTGCAGTGATTTGAAAGATATATTGCACCAACTAGAGCTGGATTACTATTTCGAGTCAAAGCTTATGGTCAGTGGCGTAGCTACCATGTATGCTTGTATGCTCGAGCATGCACATCATTTTGCAAAAAAAAAAAAATATATTTATAAAATAAAATAAATAAATAAAAAATGAGGCATGAAGAAATTGATAAACGTATAAGTACATTTATGTTAACTATGAAATAAGAAACCAACCACTGTATGTAATTGATACCCCTATACATGAAATTTTCTTTACATGTTTTATTTAGATCTATATGAGTTCGAAAATTGTTAAGATGGGTAATCTCAAAAAGTTTATTGTTTTTAAGGTATTTCCGCCCTCGTGATGGCATAGGTTAAAAAAAATTTATCTAGTAGAAATATTTCTTTTGAAAGATTGCATTTTTAAGGGTGTAATGAAAAATGATAAAATTATGTATTTTAACCATGCAGCCAGATTTAGCATTATATTTATTAAACTTTTACTAATTAATCTAAACGTTTTTTTAAATGAAAATAAATGCAGTTTTTCCTACATTGAACTCATAAAATTATGAATGTGGATAAAACATATAATCATTTAATTTTCTCAATTCAAATTAAATTTTAGGTTTGAATTAATAGACCAAATGATTTAATTTATCTTGTAAATGTCATTAAATTCTTCTGGATAACTTAAAAAAAAATATTTTACTTTTGGTGGCCTAAAGCTATCGGCTTATATTTGTCCACTATCTGAAACAATAACCCTAATTTTCTTGGTTTTTTTTTTCTCGACTTTTCTAATAATTTTGAAATAAAACATTGCCTAAACTTCGCCAATTTAGTTGGAAGATGCTAATAAACTATGATAGCCCGTATTTCTTCAACGTTAAAATTTAAGATAAAAAAAAAACGTCTCTCTACTACTATAATGATCTCAATGAGATCAGTAGAGACTAAAATTTTGGTCTGGTGTCTGACCAAAATTTTAAGTCTCTACGAATCTTGCCAAGATAAACTATCATAAAGGCTCCTTGGTTTTATTTCTAATGATAAAACGGTGTCAAGACATGCATTTTCTTAACTTTATTTTATGATTTTACGAGAGTTTAAATCGTCAGAATCCAGGAGCTTCCGGGGGCTGGACCTCAGGGCGGCCCCCAGACCCCTTGCCAATTTTAGCATGCACTTCACTTTGAGTCTAGCTACGCCACTGATGGTAGATATAAATATGGTTCAATCAAAAATACACAATTATTACTGTATAGCTGGTTAAAATCGCGATCGAAAAATATCGCGATTTTTTATATTTCAGCAAATCGCGGTCTTTTGAATTCGCGGAAAGGAAAAATCATTCATTTTTTAACAGTACTTGTAAGGATTTTTCTTTAGGTATATATTATGTAGACTGATCATTCCCGTCTCTATCTTACGAAACTTCAAAGTCTGTACATGTATAACGCGCATATCAAACAATAGCTGTAGATCTGTAGCGTTATGGTCTTATATATTTGTCTTTGACCATAACGTTATGGTCAAAGTCTCAAAGACAAATTATCGTAGACAGGTTGCAAAGTACTTGTATTTTCCGTTTATGCGAAGACAGTCCTTAAGGTTCAGAAAAAAAATGTATTTCAGTGTCATTTTCATCTACCAATAATCCTTATAAAAGACACTACCAATCTTAGCATACAAAATGCATATATATTATAATATTAATTACCGGAAAGCCCTTACGTTTTACTGACATTGTTGCCTTGTCATTTTTTATTCTAATATTAACTAGTGCTAATTGTAACGGGGACCGTTACAGATGTTCCCCAAACGTTCCCCAACTCCCTTTTGGTGCCATATTCCCTGTAAGCTTCATTAAATAAGACGAACTCTGTGCATCTGAGATTTTAACAACATTTACAAAGAAGTGTACAAAAATCATTTAAACTTTAGCATTGCACGCGTGCACATGTGAATGCACTTGCGTCATGACCATATCATCTTGTCTACACAATCTATATTTTTAATACACTGAATATTAAAGTATTTAATCCAAAATTATTTAAAAAATACGCCCATTCAAGTGTATGTTTGATATTACTCATTTCACGTGCACGCACGTGCATACATGAGCATGATGACCATACCTTCTTGTAGAAGTCCATTACATCTATCTATGTTCTAAATTCCACCCCGTTTGGGTGAAAACTAAGGGAGTTATAGCTGTTTAAAGTTTCAGCCAATCAGATTGCAGCACATGTACACGCACGTGCATGCATGTGCATGGTGACCATACCTACTTGTAGATGTCCATTATATCTATGTTCCAAATCCCATCCTGTTTGGTTGAAAACCAAGGGAGTTATAGCTATTTAAAGTTTCAGCCAATCAGATTGCAGCGCACGTGCATGCACGTGTTTTCATGATAATTGCTTTATTTCATGTTGTAGGATATCCTAATGCATGACTATGTTCAAAATTTCAAAGAATTTCGTCAAAAAACAAGAAAGATATTGAGACTTTAGTTTCAGCCAATCAGAGCGAAGTGCACGTGCATGCGCGTGAGATCTTGCTATTTTCACCATTTCGTCATGTCTATACTACTAATACATCCTCAGATTATGAGTTTCAAAGCATTTCATCTAAAAATAGAACAGTTGTGGCTATATCTATTATATTGGTCATTTCACTTGTTGCACGTGCACGCTCTTGCAAGCACGTGCGCGCAAAATGACCTTGATTCCGCAAATCTACATAACATGTCTACTAACCCTAAAAAGGTTTTACCTACATCGGACGAACAGTTTACAAGATCATTCCCGGACAAAAAAGTTCCAGGAAGAAGAAGAAGAAAAATAATAATAATAACTAGTGCTAATTGTAACGGGAACCGTTACAGATGTTCCCCAAACGCTCCCCAACTCCCTTTTGGTGCCATATTTCCTGTAAGCTTCATTAAATAAGACAAACTCTGTGCATTTGTGACTCAACGTTTTCCCAGAAGGATACCAATTATATTCAAATTTTAGCATTGCACCCAAGGGCATGTGAATGCATGTGCGTTATGACCATATCATCTTGTCTACACTATCTATATATTTTAATATACTATATATTACAGTATTCAGTCCAAAAGTAATAAAAATCCCTCATTCAAGTGTATTTTTAATTATACTCGTTCCAAATGCACACACGTGCGTGCACGTGCAGGATGACCATGCCTTCTTGTAGGAGTCCCTTACATCTATCTATGTTCTAAATCCCATCCTGTTTGGTTGAAAAACAAGGGAGTTATAGCCATTTCAAGTTTCAGCCAATCAGATTGCAGCACACGTGCATGCGCGTGATTTCAAGAATTTTTACTATATCATATTGTAGGATATCCTAATGCATGACTATTTTTTAAATTTCAAAGAATTTCGTCAAAAAACAAAGGAGATATAGCCATTTAAAGTTTCAGCCAATCAGATTGCAGCACACGTGCATGCGCGTGATTTCATGATTTTTTTTCTATATCATTTTGTAGGATATCCCAATGCATGACTAAAGTTTAAATTTCAAGGAATTTCGTCAAAAAACAAAGGAGATATAGCCATTTAAAGTTTCAGCCAATCAGATTGCAGCACACGTGCATGCGCGTGATTTCATGATTTTTTTTTTCTATATCATTTTGTAGGATATCCCAATGCATGACTAAAGTTTAAATTTCAAGGAATTTCGTCAAAAAACAAAGGAGATATAGCCATTTAAAGTTTCAGCCAATCAGCTTGCAGCACACGCACATGCGCATGCTTTCATGAAAATTCTTATATATCATGCGGTAGATCATTATAATGTAGGACTATGTTCAAAATTTCAAAGGATTATGACAAGAAACAAGAAAGTTATTGATACTTTAGTTTCAGCCAATCAGAGCAAAGCGCACGTGCATGCGCGTGAAATCTTGCTATTTTGACCATGCTATCTTGTCTATACTACTAATGTATCCTTACATTATGAGTTTCAAAAAATTTCATCAAAAAATAGAAAAGTTACGGCAATATCCATTATATTGGTAATTTCACCTAATGCACGTGCGCGCTCTTGCAAGCACGTGCGCGCAAAATGACCTTTGTTTGGCAACTCTACATAACATGCCTACTAACCCTAAAAAGGTTTCACCTAAGTCGGATGTGTAGTTTACAAGATCACTCGTGGACAAAATTTTCCCAGGAAGAAGAAAAATAATAATAATAATAACTAGTGCTAACTAGTGCTAATGGGAACCGTTACAGATGTTCCCCAAACGCTCCCCAACTCCCTTCTCGTGCCTTATTCCCTGTAAGTTTCATTAAAGAAGGCAAAATCTATGCATTTAAGACGTCAACAATGTTTTCCCAAAAGTATACCAAGTATTTCAAATTTAAGCAATGCAGGCGTGCGCATGTGATTGCATGAGCGTAATGACGATATCATCTTGTCTA